CCAGGGTTGCAATTCTGCTTGGAAATCTGTTCCTGCCACATGAGATCCTGAACTTTACCATCTCATGGTCGCTGCAGCCCAGGCAGTCCTCAACCTTTACTGCTTCAACCAGACCCTCCTTGTTACTGAGGATGAGATCCAGCAGCACCCCTCTCCTGGTTGGTTCATCCACCATTTGCATCAGGAAGTTATCATCGATGCACTGGAGGAACCTCCTGGATTGTGGGTGGCTGGCTGAATAGTCCCTCCAGCAAACAGCAGGGTAGTTAAAATCCCCCATGACAACCAGGGCCTGTGATTGCAAGGCTGCTCTCAGCTGCCTGAAGAAGGTCTCGTCAACTTCCTCACTCTGATCCGGTGGCCTGTAATAGACACCCACGACGGTATCACTCACACCAGCCTGCCCCTTAATTTTCACCCACAGACTCTCAACTTACTCCTCATCCACCCCTGGACAGACCTCAATACACTGCAGTTGCTCTCTCACTGGTTCTACCAGTGTGGCCAGCAGAGCTGTCTGTCACATGGTGAGTATCTGTGCAGAGGACTGGAAGTTCACCTCCAGTTGTAGCCATCCGAGGATTTTAAACTCTGGCATTTGGAAATCAGTACTTGCTGTGCATCAGTAAAAATTACTGCAGAACAGCCATTTGTGTCAGCAAAAAACCTACCGATTGGCCCAGGTGATACACACACCATGGTTGGTTTACTGGACTTCTGGAGTCAGTACAGCTACAGCAAAGCAGGGAAAGGGATGGACTCTGCTCTCTGACGTGCACTGACAGATGAACTGCTTGCCCATCCTTTATCCCTATACAGAGCTATTCATTATTATGTTACCTATGTGTCCCAAGTCTGAATTTTCAAATAGAGCTGTAGTAATAGTAAGAACGAATTAGAAAAATGTAATCCTCCCATGTTCCTTGTCGAGCTTGATGGGTTAGCAGTTACAAAAATTAGCAACTGACATGTAATCTAAATATAACTGTTGCAGAATCACTGATAGATTACAACTTCATTGTTAAATTCAGAGCCATATGTGGCCAGATGTAATGAAGAAGAAAATCCTCCTTACATGAAGATATGCTTGGAGGAGCATATTGTAGCATGGAACCTATTTATCATGGAATGGTTTGGGTTGAATGGACCTTTCAAGGCCATCTAGTCCAACCCCCTTGCAGTGAGCAGGAACATTGTCAACCAGATCAGGTTGCTCAGAGCCCCGTCCATCCTGACCTTGAATGTTTCCAGGGATGGAGCATCTGCAACCTCTCTGGGCAACGTTTTCTAGTGTTTCACCATCCTCATAATAAAAAATTTCTTCTTTACATCTAGTCTGAATCTACCCTCCTTTATTTTAAAACCATTGCCTCTTGTCCTATCACTACAGACCCTACTTAAAAGTTTCTCTCCATCTTTCTTGTAAGCCCCCTTCAAGTATTGAAAGGGGGCTTATTATTTATTTTGGTTATATTTCACTAGTGAAAATAATTAATTAGTTATTAGTAATTGAAGGGCAAGTTGTTTACACCCGAGTCAGCTTCTCTTGAGTTAGTCTCACTTGACTGATAGCAGCTACACCACATGAGGTAAGCTGCTAGAGCTGTGGATTACTGACAGAGTGGTGGCCTGGGCAGCTGATGAACTTAACAGTTCAAGTGGTAGAAAACACCTCTAGTTTTGCAATCAAGTAGAGCTGAAAGCACTCACCAATCCTACTGAGAAAAGTGCAATGCCTGAAGAAAGATTAATTGCAAATAATGGTGAGATTTGGCCTTTAAGAACCTCCTTACCACCCATAACTGACTCCAGGCTGTTCAGTTCCACTGGCCTAGGGAATTGTCTTTAAGTGGCATGGTTCTTAAATGCTGTTTAAAACAAACTTTTCCCCTTCCCACTACCCTCACTTCACCACTGATTTAAGTGATCCTGTGCCTGCTAACATCAGGTCTTATTACACAGTAGGCTGCCTGTGTGTCTGCTACATGCCTTAATTTCAGTTTCAAGATCCTGGACTCATAGAATTGTAGCAGTTGGAAAAGACCTTTAAGATCACCAAGTCCAACCATAAACCCAACACTGCCAATTCCACCTCTAAACCATGTCCCTGAGCACCTCATCTGCCCGGCTGTTAAATCCCACCAGGGAAGGGGACCCCCATCACCTCCCTGGGCAGCCCGTTCCAATGCTTGAGAACCCTTTCAGTGAAGATTTTCCCAATATCCAATATCTTACTTGTCTTTCCTAAAACAGCTAGCTGTGTTTCCCTTCTTTCTGTTGCAATTATCATAAACTCACTCCCACAGTAATAACAGTAACATGACACAAGTACCCACGTTATTTGGTGTCCAGCCTCTCCTTCCACTGTGTTTTACCTTGGGATAGCCTCAGATTTAGCAGAAGAATGTGTTACTTGTGTCTACAACCTCTTGACATTCACAGAAGATTCTTACTCTCATGAGCAGTCTCCTTGAATTTGGTGGGATTTGATCAAATCTGCTGACTTGAGGATCTTCATGATTTTGTGTTAATGTTGCTGCCTTGTGCATTTCCCTTACAAATATCCATCACAGTTAAAGACAAAATATTCCAGTTATTATACTTGCCATGAGATATCTGGACATCTGCCACCATCCTCTCAGGCCTTGGAAAAGTTGCTGGGATGGCTGCCAGTCTAGCTATGGCATTCATCATCTTGTTCCAGATGGAAAGCAGACTCTCTGGGTTGTCCATGTGGTGTACATCAGCAGCTGGTACTGTCAGGATGATGTTCTCTGTGGCCAGCTCAGCCCAGGGGGCTGGGTACCGACGGATGGTTGACCGCCAGGCAGAGGTGTCAGTTTCCCCTAATTCAGCATTCAAGTGGACAAAAGGTAGACAATTTATAAGAAATTTTTAAGGGTGAAGACAGGAGAATCACCATAGCTCAAACCCTCTGCATAGCTTCAGAAACAATAAGTTAATCTAGAGTTGAGTGGGTTTTACTGAATCAGGGGGAGATCCTGAGATTCTGGTGAGGGGTTCAGTCATCTTTGGTGACCCCATGTTTACAGTTGTTTCAGGGGTTGATGATATTCACTCTTTAATATCAAACCACTTTAGAGGTGTCTCAGACATGCTTATACTGGGAACAAGGACAGATTAATTCCTAAAGGGAAGTCCTATCAATCCACTTTCTGCACTGAGACACATGAAGCTTTATGCAAAGGCTTTCCTGAGGCATTACTTATTCTGAGGTCTTCTCCACACATGACCACAAAAAAAAAAAAGGAAAATATAGGCAAGCCATTAATACAGAAATATTTCTTTACTCACCTGACTACAGTTGGGTTTTGGGACCACTTACCCAGCCTGAAGAACGGAGCCTGAACAGCCTCTTTTATTGTGACTGATATTTGGCCGAATGTGCTCTCCTTTGGCACTACGATATATATGAGGCCACCCCACAGGCTAGAGACTTCCACGGTGGTTTTTTTGACTTTGAACTTCTTCACCACCAAGGGAGGTCGCTTGAGCTCTGCAGCAGAGCTGAGGTCATCAGTGTGACAGCCAATCTGCACCTGATGGGGAAAAACAGTCACTGAAACCACTGCAACTCAGACAGGCTTGAGCAGCTCCACTCTAAACTTGGTGTGTTCTGTAGCTACCACAGGCAACAAAACAATCTTCTCTCAGTCAGGAGAGGCAACAGTATGCTGCCATATGGAACATTATTCTTCACTTTGTCACAGACATCAATCAGATGAAAGTAGCATGAAAGAATTCAAGGGCAGACTTAAGCCCCATGAAGAAGAAAATGGAAATGCTTGATCAGTTGCAAAAGGAGAGTTCTCTTTCTACAGCTCTGTTCTATAGGAGAGATTTCACTGGTTTTGAAGAAATTTCAAAGTTGGTTGGCCCCAATTTTAGCACCCTTACCTCCCATCATATCTACCATTGCTCTGGAGCCAGCAATGTGCGCTTGCAGCCCAGAAGGCCAATAACCGTATCCTGGACTGCATCAAGAGAAGCATGGCCAGCAGGTCAAGGGAAGTGATTCTGCCCCTCTACTCTGCTCTTGTAAGGCCCCACCTGGAGTACTGCGTCCAGTTCTGGAGCCCCCAACACAAGAGAGTCATGGAGCAGCTAGAACAAATCCAGAGGAGGGCCACCAGGATGATGCAAGGGCTGGAGCACCTCTCCTATGAGGACAGGCTGAGAGAGTTGGGGCTGTTCAGCCTGCAGAAGAGAAGGCTTCAGGGAGATCTTATAGAGGCCTTCCAATACCTGAAGGGGGCCTCCAGGAAAGCTGGGGAAGGACTTTTCATAAGGGCAGTTAGTGACAGAACAAGGGGAAATGGCTTTAAGCTGAAAGAGGGGAGGTTTAGATGAGATATTAGGAAGAAGTTCTTCACTGTGAGGGTGGTCAGACACTGGAAGAGGTTGCCCAAGGAAGTTGTGGATGCCCCCTCCCTGGAAGTGTTTAAGGCCAGGCTGGATGAGGCTTTGAGCAACCTGGTCAAGTGGAAGGGGTGCCTGCAGATGGCAGGGGGGTTGTAACTAGATGATCTTTAAAGGTCCCTTCCAACCCAGGTATTTGTCTTGTTTGACCTCTGCCTTCTCTAGGGGAATGGAGAAGGGTACAGAGGAGGTATGAGACCAACATGAGATGGCCACAGCATAGAGCAGATGAAAATTAACGGTGTATCCATTACACCGTTATGTAAGAGAGCATAGGGCAGTCTTTTTTTCAGGACAGAAGTGAGAGAGTATAACTCAAGAAGTGTAGAAAGAGGTTTATGATAGGAGAAACTTGGGGAGAAATTGTTTGTGATTCATGTCTCAGTAAGGCCAAGACAAACCTCAAAGATATGAGAATGGAAGCAAGGAAAGTTCTTCTGACTATAATGAGAAACAAAGGCAAATGTTCACCTCCAAGTTAGCTGCAATAGCAGAAGCAGGAAAATGCAGAGTGGCTAGTCTTCTGGGAGGAATATAGAGCCCGGTGCTTCTCCATGCTTCTGGACCTTAGAAAGAACCACAGGCATTATCAAGATAGAAACACACAAGTCATACGATAGTCTTCAATTTGCAGATAAAATTAAACAGCTGCTTCAATTCTAATAAATTAGTTTTCTGAAGTTTTCACCTTTGTGCCGAATCCTTCCCCATCTGACCCACAGCTAATGTTGAACCTTTTTTGAAAAGTTTGAATCCTTAGTGATTTACGAGGGAACTGAGAAAAATGCAAGGAAATTTCCAACTAAACTATTGAGATAATCCTGCCCCATTCTCACATCATACAAGTTAGTTCAGTTGGATAAACTTGATATCAAGATGACCTTTCTGGTAAAATTTTATTAAAAAACCCCAAAACAAAACCAAAAACAAACAACAACAAACATCAGAAGTGATACTTGTCTCTGAAAAGAATGCACAACAATATCCAAAAGTGACTTGTGATTTTATATGTCTAACTGGAAACTCCCCATAACAGGCTGGGATTTTTTATTTCCATAGAAGCTCTCCTCAAGGAAGACAAAACACACAGCTTCATGCAGTGAGATCTTCAGGTGACATGTCATTGCACCTGAACTCAACAAAGAGCAGTAGTGATACTTCACATTGACCAACAAGTTAAATCACTTCTTCTGGAAGCATTGATGGGCCATGTGCCTGGACTGCTGCCCTATTGCATAAACAAAAAATTCATTCACCGTCTGACCAAATCTATACCCCACAGATCAAATGATCAATAGGCCAGCATCCAGGATAAAACCAAGGTATTTCTGATTACATGATGAGCATGCGATCCCAGAAGAAAGCTGGGGCAGGAAGGAAGCAGAGACATTATTGTATTTCTAGGTTACTCTGATCAGCTTGAATCCATTCCACACTTTGGGTGCTGCTGAGGAAGGAAATAGAGATATATCCCCTACCTTCATTTCTTCCATCAATCTGAAGAGTTACAGATGGGGACGTAGCCATTTCTGGAAGATTTTGGTTGGAAGCACGTAATTGTTTTTGTACATCAGGGAAGCTGTCATAGAGCTCTGCAGCCATGTTGATTAGAACCATTTCCTCAGAGTTGCCTTTGATGGGGCTGTCAGCACTGACATCAGGAACCCCCTGGGAAAGCACTAGCTCAGCCATCTCCTCCTGAACAGACCAGATAGTTAGGGAGGTCTGAGCTGGAATCCTCAGGAACACTTTTGAGTCCTGTGCTAATTTCTTGAGCCAGGAGGAATACGGTGGCTTTAAAGCTTCTTTTTTCTCGAGGTTTTGCTGAAATTGGGAGAATGCCTTGCGGAAATGGTACTGTGAGATAACCTCATCAGGATCTAAGACTGGCTGACTTGTTGGTAGTATGTTATCTCCTAAGATACCAACTCCAAACTTTTGCAGTATTTTGTTCCCAGGGAACTCAGCAATGGCATCCTCCTCAGCATTCTCTGCAGCCCAGGACCATGCCTGTCCTGCAACCAGCAGACCACCACCCGTTGAAACAAACTCATGAATCTTCTCCACCTCCTCATCACTGTAGGCTTTGCAGCAGTACACACTCAGGCTTTCCTCAAGATCTGTTAGCTTGCAAGGGATCTTCTCCTTGCTCAGGAGAGTGAAAAAGTCCTGCAGATCACTAGCAACACCAACTTCTCCCCCCCTTCCAGCATCAAGCCAGTCAATGGCATTGAGAATGAAGGTTTTCATTGCTGATGCTTGAAAAAAGTTTTCATGAGTGAGTACCACAACACGGCCCCTGCCATAGTGTGCAGCTGCAAGGAATGCCTGGTGGGAGTCATTCATAGCAATGGGAAAAGCTAATGCACCATGGATGAGTAGATGGGAGGGGACACTGCCGTCTTCTATCTTGAATTCAGTCACTCCTTTCAAAAGAGCTTCTAAATTTTTTTTCACATCCAATCCGTGTCTGGAAAACCAAAAGAAATCCTTGTCATTCGTATTGATTTATAAATCATAGAATCATTTGGTTGGAAAAGACCTTTGATCATTGAGTCCAACCATACCTGTCCACTACTAAACCAGATCTCTGAGCACCCCATCTACAAATGCTGAAAGCTGTACTTATCTTTGGCCTGTTAGTAGTGATACAGATTTCCTATTAATGCTCCTTGTTTCAAGAAGTATCAAGACAAATATATTCATCTCTATCAAGTGAGACTTGAAAGCTAACCCAACAGACATCACTGATATTAACAGCAATGTGAAAATTACAGGGATCACCAGCTTTCCTTAAGCGTGATATAAATTGAATTCTAGGCAAGAACGGTGCCGTGTGCTTGTGACTCATGTTGGATTTTTCTGCCATGGGCTAAGATGTTACCACCCACAGAGGGTGGCTCTATTCTTCACAAGAGGAAGTTACTGTCCTCAGAGGACAGAACAACCCATAAGAGATCAGGCAAGAACTTCCTAATCCTTTTCAATGCAAAGGCAGACATGTACTGAAACATTCTCAGCAATGGCTTCAACTAACTCAATTGATCTTACCCTCAGGAAGTCTAGAGGCTCC